TTGTATTATCACTTCAGTGTGTATCTTTGTTCTCTCCAGGATGCCTAACTTAATGTCAATGTCTTCACTTGACTAACAGTTAATAACCACTGATTTGAAAAGATAAAGTACAGAAAGCATTGGGTGTGGCTACCTTACTGAGACCGAACTCATCCATTTCATCTGCAGGGATGCCATAGTTGCCGATCAGAGGATATGTCAGCACTAAGATTTGTGCTTTGTAGGAAGGGTCAGTAAGGGCCTCGGGGTAGCCGACCATGCCAGTTTGAAACACTGCAAGAAAGAGGCAGGGCTGGGGCTTGGGCAGGACACCCTTCCCACCACTGCCCTGAGCGATGACAATGCCCCAGCGGAGGCTGCCTTGACCTTGAGGGATAAAAGGGGCTAGGGTGGGGACACGGGCACCAAATGGGGGTGGGAGGCTGGGTGTGCAGGCGGGAAAATGGCGGGTTTGGGCAGGGCAGGTTGGGCAGAGAGGGGCAGCAGAGAGTGGGATGAGGTCGGCAGCCGGCCCGAGCTTGCTTACCCACTTCACCGGCAGTCGACACAGCGGCCCCAAAGGGCTGGCCCCGCAGGACCGACCCATCCTCCAACATCAGGGCCGCCATGGGAACGGAGCTCAGAGGCGGGGGCGAGCACAGAGAAGCGGGAAACGCAGCAAGCCCCAGCCGATGCTAGAACCACGTGAGGTCGGCGCGCCAGGAGTCGGTCCACGTGGCTAACCGCGCTGGTGGCTGGAGCGCGGGCCGCGGAAGGCGCAGGAGCTCCCGGCGCGCTGGGCAGCCGCAGACTGCGGCGGCGCGAGCTGCCGGCAGCGTGAAGGGCGGGGCCGAGCACGTAAGAGGGCGGGGCCAAGTTAACTTCGGCGTGGTGGGCGTCTCCTCTCCCCGCCCTCCCCAACACCGCCCCACCGCAAAGACCCGGGAAACCTGAAAAACAACCGACTAGTCCAAAGCACTCTCTCCCACTCCAAGAAACACACAAATCCACGACGTCTTTCCCTAAAAAATAAGAAAATTAAAAAAAAAAAAAAAGAACGACAAGTAAAGATGTTTATTATAGTCAAGCACAAATGGGGCACCGGTCCTTGTCCACTCCTGGACTGCAGTGTCCACAACACCCCAAAGCTATGCAACTTCCCATCTTCCTGCCAAATGGCGGCTTCATCCTTGAGGAGGATCTGCTGGCCACCATGCCTGTCTAGGTAGAAAATCTCCCTGGCTGGGCTAAGGCAGATCAAGATAATCTTTAAGTCAGTAGGAAGACCTATGCAGTTCATGAAGCCTTGGCTTTTCGGCGTTGGGTCCCCCAAAGCAGAACGGAGACGGATAATGTGGTGGATCCCAGAATACCGAAGAACATAACCAGTGAGAAGGAGCCCTGTGAATGACAGACCAAAAAAACTTCATACAGCGTTTCATCAAGGACTACATCCTAACAGCTATTTCTTTCCTAGTATACCAATCCCCTTACCCAGGGCAATTCTCTTATAGTTTCCTTCTCTAGATGATTTGCATCAGTTCTGGTCTTATGGCTCTTCTTTCAAAGAGGTTCTTCCTTATGCATTTCTCCTATTCCTAATAAGAAGGCCTAATTCCTCACCTGGCGCATACACTTGTAGCCATGGAAGCCGTCAGCACAGACACATTGCAAGAGACCTGGACCATCAGGTACACAGGATCCATTCTCAGGACACATTTCTGGGAGCCAGAGAGAAACAGAGAAAATCACTGGATCTCATCATGTAGATTTCTCGAATATCTGCTTCAACTTAGATTCATTCTCTCCATTATTTCTAGGTCAAAGTAGAAGAAAGAAGATTTCAGATAAACAGAACACAACAACAATAATAAAATGAATCTTATGACCTTTCCTTTCAAGGTGTTAGAGCTTCAGAAACTTGAACAAGAGGCACGTACACAACTTTACTGTTGGACCTAAAATGGGGAGTAGACGTGAAGAAAGGCAGTTCCTAGAAGGATGGAAGTGAGACAACATACCTTGGTCCCCCGTGCTGTTGCAAAGGTTCCTTTGTCCTTGACAGGTTTGGTTGTTCATATAAAAGGTGACAGTATTCCAGGCATTAATACCTCCAGGACAGCTGACATCTTGTGGCAGTATCCTGAACACAACACAGACAGTCATAACACACAGCCCCAAATTGCTGCGCTCACAGCACTGTCCCTTTTTGGTTCTCTCCCACACCCTGTACCCTTACTCACAGAGTCTGGAGCTGGGTAAAGCCACGGAAAATGTTGGCCAAGTCATCCTTGAGGGGGTTTGCTTGCAGGTCTCTGCAAAGCATATGTTGTTAGCACTGTGCTCTAGGAAAACACTCTACTTCCATTTACACATCTTCCTGGACTGGCAATCCAGTTCTTATTCTGAGTTGCCCACGTTCGACATTAATATTCAAACATCTTTTTAGAAGTTCATCCTTAAAGACTTTTCCCATCACCCTTTCACCATACTGGCCATTTGGAGGGAGGATAACCAACCACTTACATGACGACAGCAGTATGTGCCTGAGGAAAGTTTGGACCAGGGTCCTTCAGAGAACAGTTCTGGAGATCCACCCTGAGGAAATAATCAGTACAATTATGTCTCTCTTCTTCATTCATGGTAAACTAATACAACCCTTTTTACAGCGAATATTAAGTGAACACAGCTGTGTTCAGGGCCACACACTAGATGCTGTGGTATATGTTTTAATCTGCACTGTCCCATTGTCACCATTAGTTACATGTAGCTATTTAAGTTAAGTGAAAAAAATTCAGTTTCTCATTTGCACTAGCCACATTTCAAGTATTCAGTAACCACTCCCCTTGTGATCAGTGATTACTGTATTGGAAAGTACAGATATGGACCAGTTCCATCATAGCAGAAAGTTTTATTGGACGGTGCTGTTCTCATCAGTATACCTATGCATCTGTGCATGTATTGGAAGAAATTTGTTTCTTGTCTAGGTTAGTAAATCTCACATTGTATTATGATTCTCAGATTCACAAAGGGCCTTCAAATGGGAAAAAAAATGCAAGTCACATAAATGAAAGTCTTTTCCAAGTACATTTTCTTTTCTTTAATTTTAAGTGTTTATTTATTTTTGAGAGAGAGAGAGAGAGAGAGAGAGCGCGCGCAAGTAGGGTAGGGGCAGAGAGAGCAGGAGACACAGAATCTGGAGCAGACTCCAGGCTCCGAGCTGTTAGCACAGAGCCCAATGCAGGGCTTGAACCCACTAACAGTGAGATCATGACCTGAGCTGAAGTCAGAGGCTTAACTTACTGAGCACCCAGGTGCCCCTCCAAATGCATTTCTACCATAGATTGGAGATAAATTACTGGATGTTAAGGACCATGTCACGTTATTTTTTTCTTCACTATCTATTGCTAGTTCCTTTATTTTTCAAATATTTACTGAGTACCTACTAACTGCAAAACTTGGGAGAATAAAAGAAAACCCTCAGTATCTTAGCTTTCAAGTGGCTTACAACGTAGCAGAGGAAGACCATAACCAAAAATTTAAAAGCAATATAAACATTAAATTACGATATGAAAGAAATCACAGGAAAGTATATAAATAATTTTAAGTGGTACAAACACTAAGGATTAGAGGAAGTAAAAAAATGAGATATTACCCTGGTATTTGGTAGTAGAGAGCATTCACAGAAGATGCTGGAATTAAAGGATGAATATGTTTTAATTTGGTGGAGGAAGGACATTTCAGGTAAGGAGAGAGGCCTGAACAAAGAAAACAAAAGTGGAATGCTTTTGTAAGTAGGCAAGTCTGGCTGAAGCCAGACCCTTGTGAAGGACTTTAGTGGACAAATAATTGGGAAAAAATGTTGGGAAGGTGGATTGAAACCAATCTGTGGTGGTTTATGGTTTGAACTTTATCCTGAGGGCAACAGACAATTAAATTTTAAAAATGGAGGGATAATGGGGAAAAAATGGTTTTCAGATAGTTTCCTATAAGAAAAGTATTTAGGTAATTAGAGGAGGAAGAGAATGGAAGACAGGTGACATTTGTGATTTTGAAGTGAGGGTGCTCTCAAAAGGAAATGCTTAATAGAAAGCTAGAGGTGCCCATGTGTACAGCTTGGAGAGAAGGCCAAGGATACTAAAAGAGATCTAGTTTTGGGAGACACCTGCGTGGTGGTTACAGCTGAAGTCATGAGAATAGGTGGAGCCTCAAAAGCGTAAAGGGAGTAAACACGGAGACTAATGTTCATAAGGGATGAAAGAGGAATTTGCCTCAAAGACAAACTTGAATTAATTGGAAGGGAAGAAAATTCTGTTAGCATCGTGCCTTGGAGGCTAAGGGAGTCATTTCATGGAGACACACAGTGAATAATCCAGAGTTGAAAACAAACAAGAGAACAAAGCTTCTTTTAAAAGAAAGCCATAAAAGCCTTTTTTTTTTTTTAAGTGGGTAAAAATTATGACTTCTATGCAGTTGCAACTGCATAGAAGAATAACAGGGTTGTTTAGCTAAAAATGCTACTAACACATTTAAAAGCACGAGAATCACACGGTTCATGAGTTTGAGCCCCATGCACTGTGGAGCCTGCTTGGTATTCTCTCTTCTCTCTGCCCCTCCCTGTCTCACTCTCTGTCTCTCTCTCAAAATAAACAAACTTAAAAAAAATTTTTTTTTAAAGTGTGAGAATCATGGCTTGGATGACTCCAAAATAGGCACCAATATTTATCCCAATAGCCAATCAGGTAAGCCTCTAAGAATCCAGTTCCAGAACTCTTCCAGGATCCAGGGTTGTCTTCTCTCACCCCAGGATGGTGCCCTTCTGATTCAGGCAGCAGCGGGCCTGCAGCATTAGCTCCGGTGTCTGCTGACAGTAAAGTGCCACTTCTGACAAATTTCGCACACTCCCTGGACACTGGATGCATATCTGCAGAGGAGAGAAAACGATTAGGATTCCAGAAAGAAAAACCAAGAACAAGCAGGGGTCAAAAGTTAACTACCGTACACTCTTCAAAATTCCTTTAACAATGGGCAGGTAGGTGTCCTATCTTTATGTCAAGTTTGACTAGGAGATGCATTTCTTCGCCTAGAGCCAGGAGCCAAATCAGCACACTAGAGACTTTCTGTACCAGAGCTCACCCAGGACAGGCCCTCGTCTTCGAGGATCACCATTCGACAATATTTATTATGCCCTATCCAGTGACTTCTCAATCTGACAGACCCGGTTTGGCCAGGTATAAAAGCACTGCAGGTATACAAAGAAGTCATCAAGCATTACAGAAAGTACAGTCCTGCCAGGGCACGATATACGGCATTCGCGCGTGACGAGCGTGAAGTACAGTCAGAGGACTCGTCGGTAGAAGAACAATTTACAATTATTCAAAAGAGCAAGGAGATCAAATTTTAAAGGTCCACGTCAGCAAGGCGAGGTCACTGGGGGACCTACGCAGCGTGAGTACACGGGAGCGGGAGCCGGCGGGGCTACAGCGAGGGAAGCCTCAGGGACGAAATCGTCGCCACCGGCGGGCTGGGGAGAGCCGAGAGACCAGGGCGGGCGAGCGCGAAACAAGGCTGCCCAGGAACTATGCTGCAGTCCGACCTCTAACTTGTTTCTGTACCTCGGGTAGCGCCAGGGCCCTTTTCGCGCCCACAACAAGGAGCACGGCAGCTGCCCAAGGCACCAGGTTCGAAGGACTACCCGGCCCGCGAGGAGCCATTTTTCGCTCCCTTTGTCCTTCTCAACGCCTCGCGAGATTTGCGCGTGTGGCTCCGCCCTCCGCGGGTGTGGCCCAGTCGGCCCGAAGCGGGCTGGGGGATTGCTGCGGGTTGAGGAGGTCAGAGCTCTTTTCAGTGCGTCCCAGTCCCCGTTAGAGAGGACTGGCCAACCCCCTCTCCTTTCCCCCGTTAGCAAAGGCCTCCCAGCCGCCGCTCTCTCAGCTCCGCGTTCCTCGCTTCCGGATGCCGCGGTCGCGTCACTGCAGCGACTTGCAGCTCCCGCCGCCCACAGTAAACATGGCGGCGCCACGCGAGGCGGCCAGGGGGCGGGCCCCGCTGTCACTCAGCCGGCAGGTGGCAGGCCAGGCTTTGCCACCGCCGCCGCACTCAACCGTGGAGACCCGGCAAATGGGGCGGGCCGGCGCCAGGGGGCCAGTGCCCAAAGGCTACCGAGAGTGGCGCCGAGGCAGGGAGGGGCGGGGCGAGTCGGCCCCCCTCGTGGAGGCGCGGGAAGATCTGAGTTGCGAGCCTCGTGGTGCTAGTGGTTAAGCCACCTCACGTGTGGAGGGAAGGCGGGAAGCCAGCAAATAAAGAGGGTAAGGGTGATGGAGGAGCGAAGAGTGAAGGGCAAACCCCGGCGGGAGGAGATGAGCCTGGGGACGCCCTGGGCACCCTGGCCCCGTCACCTCAGTCAGGAGACCGCGTGGCTGTCGGAGCTTGGTGAGGAGGGAGGGGCGGGACACGCGCTTCGCTGCCTTCTTATCTCCTTTCCCTTCCCAGAAAAACGGGCTGATGCTGATCACGAGAAAAACGACTGGACTCTCTTAGCCCTGGCTGAGCCACGGAGGTAAGGGAAAGGCGAACGCTCCCCGAGGGTGGCCCTGGGGAGCCCCGCGCCCGAAGGGACTGCGTGGTGCCTTTGCTGAGGGCCAGGCAAAAGCTCATCAAAGCTAACTCCTCTAGAGTGGCCCCCCGGGCTTCCCTTGCACTTATGCACGGGCACGTGGACTCTCCTAAAAGGATTTACTTTCAGCTGGCGGCACGTTCTCTAAGGCTTTGGTAGTTATTAGCATTTTAATGAGGGTACTAAACCCTTTCAGACCTTGAGGAATTCTAGGCACAAGGACAGATTTTGAAGGAATCTTTTTAAGGCAGTGGGTCCTGCGGTGGCCCCATTTGCCTTTTGTAGGAGTCCAGGCAGTTCAGCGCAGGCAGGGGTTGGGGGGGTAGGGTGGTGTAAGTGATTCTCTTCCCTTTCTGTGTGTGTTATAGTTTTAAGAAGGGGTCTCACAGTCCACTATTTGTGCCTTGTGTGTTTCAGTTTTAGTGACACAACTCAGCTCTTACTTTTGGCTCCCACTGTCTCAGATGCGAGTCCATGGGCTTTACAATGGTGTAGAGTTTTTGGAAAGCCACTAACTCTCCTGTTCCTAGAATCAGAATCCTGTCTAAGGAACACTTCACTGGGTCAGGTTTTACCCGTCTTGCCTGCCTGTCTTCAGCCTTCTGGGAAGGTTCTCTGCACCTCGTGCTAATAGAATTCTATCAAGAAGCTCCACCAATTTACCCCAGAAGTAGAGGGTCACCAGTTCTGTAAGTCTGTGTTCTAGTCTATACCGAGACTTTTTTCCTTTCTGTAACTGCTCTATCTTTGTCACTAACCCTACATGGTTTTTTTTTTTTTTTTTTTTTTAATGTTTACTTATTTGAGAGAGAGAGAAGAAAGCAAGCAGGACAGAGAGAGAGGGAGACAGAGGCTACACATTCTTATTTGCATACAGCAGACACCCTCTCTTACTCCTAGTATTTTTCATCACCTCTGTCATAGTCAAATTTGCCAAAGAGGAGCCGCAGGGAATCTTTAGGTTAAACCAGAGGGACCTGGTGGGAACGCTTTTTTGGGAACTAACATTTGAGACTCGTAGAACATGTGATCCAAGAGTTGCCGGCTCTGATTTCCTATCTTTGTTGGGTCCACGAGGTTCAGAGTTCAGGTTTGGTCTGTGTAAGGCCGTATCTTGCCAGCTAGGCAACATCTGCCCAAGAACACAGTGTGGGAGAACCATAAGACAGCCAGGCTGATCTTTCTCCTAGTGGGCAAGCACAGAAGACATAGGTTATATTAATGTGTGTCTAGACTAGTTTAAATCTAAACTTTGTTCTGCGAATGACTGACTGCAATTAATGTTCTGCTCCTACCCTGGTTCTAGGAATAGTAAGGATGTCCCCCTCCCCCCAGGTGAATCACCTGTCATACCTGCAGTTAGTGCTCTTTCGTTCTCCTTTGTTTTGTATTGTGCCCTGTAACCTTAGGCAAGTTATTTAACTTGTCTAACTCTGCTTCCTTGAGAATCAGAGAATGTTTGTGTAAAGTGCATAAACTGAGGCATGGTGTTTTAAAAGCGATAGTAATGGTTACTTTTTCCTTATTTATAATTATTGGAGTTTTTGAAGTTTACGGCATACCGCTGGGTTACAAAAAGTGAGATGCTTCACTAAGAAAATGTAAAAAAGAGATACCGAAAACAACATTACCTGTCATCATTTAGGCTATCTAAAAATCTGACATGCTGTGGTATTTTCTCCATATCAGTGAGAATCTCGCAGATATTCTTTGAAGACATTATGGTATAAATGAAGAGTGGCTGGATGGGAATCACCAGACTTGAGCTCTGATCTGGACTGACAATAATTAGCTCTGTGGTTTTTGGAAAGATCACTTGAATCACTGAGCCTCGGTGTCTTTGTTGGTAACGAGGGGTCGTAATAGTGATCTTTTAATATTCCTTTAAGTTTTGAAGTGTATAATCTTGTCCTTGTTGTGAGGATAATGCTATATTCTTGAGGATTAGTATTTTTTGTGCAGGAGTCAGAAAAGCAACTTTCCCATTTCTCTCAGCTCCTCCTTTGTAATTCCCTTTAGCACACAGTGCCAAGTGTGACTTACAGTGAAAGCCTAATCCAGCTAGGAATGCTGTTGAATGTGAGCTCCCTGTTCCCCATTCTGGAATCTCTAGGACTGAGCTAGAGTTTGGGGGCCATAGGGTGATAGGGCCATTTGGATCACATTGGTTCCTTAAAGCGGCCAGAACAAATAACTGCTGAACTTCACTTCACCCCTAATTCCTGATTTCACCTCCGCCACTTACAGAGCCAGACTCTCAGCTTCTGCCCAGCTCTAGACACACACAGCTTCTCCAGGCAGTGCTGCCTCTGAACAGGGATTACTTCTCTAGGTAGGTGTCTACCTCAGGAGGATAGGAGCACTCTCCCCAGCTGCCCTTGCCCCAGCTCCCTGGCTGATCTGCTTTTCTATAATCATAAGTTGAACTCCTGGCTCCAGCATGTTACCCTCTCACTTTTGAATTCTATCACTCTTCCCAGATCTGCTATTGACTGTTGTGTTGCAGGGAGGAGCTGGGAGGTGGGTGGCAGGAGAGAGCAAAGTGGTTGGCCTGGGGATGCCTGGAATGGAGTTTGGGCTTCCATGAAGGTAATCTAACTAGGGATCAGGGCTAAGAAGGCGTCCTGTTAGGAAGCTGACACTAGGAATATGGGAGGTGGGGGCTGAAGCTAGGGGAAATAGAGGGAGCCATGCTGTTATTGGTCTCCCATTTCTTCTTCCCTGCTGGGCTGTGGCGCCAGGTTGGGGTCTGCTGGCTTAGTACATTGTAGTGACTGGGTCTGTGCCTGCAGGTGGGGGCAGGGAAATTTTTTGAGAAGAAATGTGGGCTCGAGTTGATTTTTCTTTTGTTACTGGGGTGGAGACCTAAGAAAGTTTTTATATTTCTCAGCTGTGTCTGCCCAAAACAGTCTTAGCCAAATAGTTGTCTCCTGGCTGTCTCACTCTGTTGCTTCTTTCCTCCCCTACCAAAACCATACCAGGACCTCCAGATCTCCAAGGGCTGTACAGAACTGGCTGGTCCAAGTTTGATGGTTGTTGGATACACAGGCCTGAGGGCAGATGCGCATGAAGGCAAGATAGGCCTGACTAGGAGCTGATTCCTTTGCAACTCACCTTGGACAATGTCACTTGGTGGAGGAGAAGGACTGTGAGATCGTGGCCGGAAGCCAGGTTGTAGCCACTTGCCTGCCGTTGCCCAGCTGAGTGGCAGCCCAGAGCCCAGGAGCAGCAAGTGACTGTAGGTCACAGACACAGTGAAGATGAGTGTGGGGGTTAGCACCTCTACTCCCCTGCTTCCAGCCTCAGACACAGACGTGGTCACATCTGCCTTCTCCCTTGTGGACTATGTGGTGTTTGCCCTGCTGCTGGTTCTTTCCCTTGCCATTGGGCTCTACCATGCCTTTCGTGGCTGGGGCCGGCATACTGTTGGCCAGCTGCTCATGGCAGACCGCAAAATGGGCTGTCTTCCTGTGGCTCTGTCGCTGCTGGCCACCTTCCAGTCAGCTGTGGCCATTCTGGGTGTGCCGTCCGAGATCTACCGATTTGGGACCCAGTATTGGTTCCTGGGCTGCTGCTATTTCCTGGGGCTGGTGATCCCTGCACACGTCTTCATCCCTGTCTTCTACCGCCTGCATCTCACCAGTGCCTATGAGGTGAGCAGAGAGGAAGGGAGGAGCACATAGGACCACCAGGGTCAGAGGTGGAAAGGAGGAAGAGGGCACATACAAGGGATCTGGGCCCCTGGACCTTTTCTGCCTAATTAGAGCGATGGGACACATCATGTGTTTCCAAGTTCTTTCTGGGTGAAGTCAGGTGGGAGTGGGGAGAGAAGGAAGGTACTGTGAATGGAGGCCCAGAGTGGATAGGAGTTGAATATTCCCTCATGTTCCTGGACTTCTTGAGGGATGCTGTGTGTGAATTGAGGGGGTAGAGTGGGGAGGAATGCCTTTAAATATATAAAGATGTCTACGATTATATATCTATATCTGCATATTTCTATCTAGTATCTGGAGCTCCGCTTCAATAAGGCTGTGCGGATTTGTGGGACCGTGACCTTCATCTTTCAGATGGTAAGTGGAAATGAAGGTAGAATTTGAGCCTGGGATATGGTAGAGGGACCCAAACTCAGGCATTCTGAAGCACTCTGAGCTTCCTCTGCTCTCAGGCAGGATTAAAGGTCCTGCAAGGTGTCAGTGTCCCTGAAGCCACCAGAGGCATCCTGTTTCCTATTCCTTCTGGCTCCAGCACAGTCAGTATGGTGGCAGCAAGCTAAAATTTGGAAGAAGGGAAAGGAAAGTGAGCCTAGATGAAGGGAGGCCATTAGGAGCTGAGGTCCATCTTTTCTCCTTTCCGTACCCACCCTCATTTCCCCTCCCCCTCACATTCTCTTTTCCATACCTGACAGGTGATCTACATGGGGGTTGTGCTCTATGCACCATCGTTGGCCCTCAATGCAGGTGAGGAGTCACAGCCCCTGGCTGTCAGCCACAGCAGGCTGGGAAAACACCTTTGGGAGGGGCAGGTAGAGGAGAGTGTGCAGAAAAGAATCTGACCTTGGCCGGGGAGTTATTTCACTGCATGGGCCCTTGGCTTGTCTCTGCCGGAGGTGGAAGCACCTTGGTTCGCCTCACTTGAAAGCTAATCAGACATTACCATGTCTCGTCTGAATTGGTTAATCAGTACCTTTTGGTGGGGTTCGAACATTTTTTTCGATTATAGTGAATGATTTATTACATCTTTGATGACTGCACGTTTCATGTCTTACTGGGTTTTTTTCTAGTCTCTGGGAAACCCTCTTCCAGAGACAGAATTGTGGTTTTTACTTGTTTGCAGTGACTGGCTTTGATCTGTGGCTGTCAGTGCTGACCCTAGGCATTGTCTGTACTATCTACACTGCTTTGGTGAGTGTGGTGAATCTTAAAAGAGAAAGGGGAAGAGGTCAAGTAAGGAGGGAAGATGGGAAGAAAAAGAAGGGATGAGGTAAAAATGTAGGTGGGAAGATGGGATGGAGTTTTAGAGTGGGATGAAACAATACGTAGGAGATGCGATAGGACTTTGGTGGGAAGTGGGACGAAGGAGAGGGGACGGCATACTGAAGGTAGGGGATGGGGTGGGAATTAGGCCCCTGGTGGTATAGTGCCCTTGCTGGTGGTCGGGTGTCTTAATTTGTGGATGGTTTTAAAGACATCTGTGTCAGGTATGCTTTCTTTTCCCTGCAGGGTGGTCTGAAGGCAGTCATCTGGACAGATGTGTTCCAGACGCTGGTCATGTTCCTAGGGCAGCTGGTGGTTATCATTGTGGGATCAACCAGGGTGGGCGGCTTGGGGAATGCGTGGGAAGTGGCTTCCCAGCATGGCCGCATCTCTGGGATTGAGTAAGTGTACCCCTTCCCCTGGCTGGGGTCTGTAGTGCCTCTGAGCCGAGCCCATCCTAGAACCTGAACTCAGGGCTGCAGTAAGCAGAGGACAAGCTGTGTAAGCCTTAGGTGGCATCACTGAGATGGGTGGGAAGCTGGCACTGCAGAGATTGAGGGTGATCACAGGAATCTGGCTGGAGGGTAAGGAGGGGCAGGATGTTTTTGGTACTTGGAATGAGGCTGTGGGTTGGAGGGATAGAACCCTTCCTCCATCTTGCTGCACCGTCTCTCGTGTCTACCCAGTTCTTGCCTTCGGTAGCTCCTTGGCCCTTGCAGCAGCGTCTGTGCTCTGCTTTCCTCTGACCCTCATTGTAGGAGTGCGAGGAAGGCTGAGACTGTTGGGGGCTATGCCACAGTGACCATTTGGCATCTGTTGCAGGCTGAATCCAGATCCTTTTGTGCGGCACACTTTCTGGACGTTGGCTTTTGGGGGTGTCTTCATGATGCTCTCCTTGTATGGGGTGAACCAGGCTCAGGTGCAGCGCTACCTCAGTTCCCGCACGGAGAAGGCTGCTATACTGTGAGTGCAGGGACAGGAAGACCAGGGAGCAGGGGCTAGAGAAGATGGTGGGACCCTGTTCTACGGGGCAGTTGGGTGGGGGCATGATGCCAGAGCGCAAACATACCCATTGGGGTCAGGATACAGGTTTGCCTTTTGGAACTTGGGGACATGCCTGAAGATGTCTATTAACAGTCTCTGTTTCCTTGGCACTGGTGTCTTGCAGCTCCTGCTATGCAGTCTTCCCTTGCCAGCAGGTGGTCCTCTGCATGAGCTGTCTCATTGGCCTGGTCATGTTTGCCTATTACCAGAAGTATCCCATGAGCACCCAGCAGGCTCAAGCAGCCCCTGACCAGGTGAGAAGGCCTCCCTGGCACTCTTCTGTGCCCATGAGGGCCAACCTAGGCCCCATGAGGAGTGTCTGGTTGGCTGCAGCAAGGACTCCCACCCTGGGTAGGAAATGGATGTAAGTGGCTTTTCACTGTGGGATTCTACAATCTGGCACATGAGGGTCCCAGTTCCCAGTATCACCTAATCACAGTGCTCACCCTGCTGGGGTGGGGACCTACCTTTATTGGCTCACCACTATGTACCGTGTGATGCGCTTTGCTAGGAGCTGTCACATACCCGGTCTCGTCTAATCCCCACAACAGCCTCATTTTATAGAATGGAAAAAAGTCATCAGGGTGGCCCACATGCTCGTCACACTGCTAATTGGGCATGGCTGGGGTGCGAACTGTGTTCTGTCTCCAGAGCCCGTTTTTTTCTACTTCCTGTGGGTCACCTTCAGTGCTTAGCACCCTTCTTAATCACCGGGTTTCCGTAGGCTGGCAGGGGCACATGTAGGGGGCTTCTCACATGTCTTGCCCTGGGGAAGGGCTCCTCTCTCAAGAGAGCTGTGCACTTCTGCTCTGCCTGCAGTTCGTCCTGTATTTTGTGATGGATCTCCTGAAAGGCCTGCCGGGCCTGCCTGGGCTCTTTGTTGCCTGCCTCTTCAGTGGTTCCCTCAGGTACCTTCTTTGACCATTTTCCTCAGGCTTGGTGCAGCTGATCCCTGCTTGACACAAGGTGACAGGTGGAGGAGGGGATCTCTCTGAGTTTCTCAATGTGCCCTCTTATCTGTGGATGATGAGGGACAGCTTATCTGTGTAGGAGAGAGCATATCTTCCAGGAGATGCCCCCCCTTTTGGTGAAGGATTCTTCTTTTTACGACACCAGGAATTGATTCTACTTGATCAAAACCTGTACCCCAGTCAGAAAAGGACAGGTGTCCTTGCCTTCCAGGCCTCTTCCTCGGCTGCCAACTGTGAGGATGGCTTCTGGCTGCATATGTTTTCTCCTGCCTTTAGAGTGCTACTCCCTTAGTAGGGCCCCTGGTGGTTTTGCCTCTCAGCTCCCAGAGTCAGCACAGCTCATCTTTTTCTTCCTTCTTTCAGCACCATATCCTCTGCTTTTAATTCATTGGCAACTGTTACGATGGAAGATCTGATCCGACCCTGGTTCCCTCAGTTCTCTGAAGTCCAGGCCATCATGCTTTCCAGAATCCTCGGTGGGATTATGCTTCCTCATCTTTTCAGTTGTATTCTTTCTAAGACACACCTGAAGCACTGTCATCAATCAGTCTGCTTGACGGCACCGGCTTTAGCCTTGGCTTGGCGCTTGCCACATGAAGCACACAACCTTGTTTATTATCTCAGGGCATTTCCTGGGAAGGTCTCTGAGTCCCATAAGCGTGAGGACCGGGTGGGAGGGACCTGGAACTGGGGCAGGAGGTAATATGCCCTGTTTCCAGGGACACAGAGGTAGCGGTTTGGGGAAGGAGCTTTCCTCTGCTTTTTCTTCTTTTAGTTCTATTTACTTACCTCTGCGTGTTTTCTCCCTTTTTTTCCCCCAGCGTTTGGCTATGGGCTACTTTGTCTGGGAATGGCCTATATTTCTTCTCAGATGGGACCTGTGCTGCAGGTAAGGACTATGCAGAAAAGAAAGCAATTGTTAAGGGAGATAAGGAGGTGATTGAGATGGGAAGTTGAGGAATACCACTGATGTGAAGGGAATGGTATAGGGATGGGTGTCAAAAATTCATCTTTGATGGACCACCTTTGGCTGTGAGTAGCCTTCTCCAGAGTCATTCCCAGGTCCTTGTTGGCTCAGACATCTGGGGATTATTTTAGCCTCAGAGGAGAACCCACAGCACATTTCCTTACCCATATGCCTTCTGGAATCCTGCATTCTAACATTTTCACGTAGAAGACACAGATCTGACAAGGGGGGCGCTGAGCCATTGGCAGGTGGCTGTACTCTACATTGGTAAGGCTGGGGGGGTCTCTGAGCCTGAATAGTCTCTGTTATTTTTTTCTTCAACCCTATCCTCCACAGGCAGCACTCAGCATCTTTGGCATGGTTGGGGGGCCGCTGCTCGGACTCTTCTGTCTTGGGATGTTCTTTCCTTGTGCCAACCCTCCTGTGAGTGACCGTCTGGCTCCACAGTCGTTTACAGGGGTGGGCCTGGGGAATGGCTTGGCAAGGCTCTCCCCGTGAGTTCTGGGAACTGGTGTGAAGGTTTATTAGGGCTGGCATCATAACTGGAGAATGTGCTGTGTCTCTGGGCAGGGTGCCATTGTGGGCCTATTGGCTGGACTTGTCATGGCCTTCTGGATTGGCATTGGGAGCATAGTGACCAAGATGGCCTTTGGCGTGGCACCTTCTCCCTCTAATATATCCAGCTTTTCCCTGCCTAGTAACCTGACCACCGTTGCCATGACCACACTGATGCCCTCAACCACTCACTCCAGGTGAGTTGGGGTTCACTCACTTTCTACTTGGGGAGAATAGCTCATTTTTGAGGGGTTTCCCAGGGGCCTTGCTAAGGGATGGACCACCAGAGTCCTCAGGGCAATGTTGAGAGTTGGGTCCCAAGACCCTAGGACAGTGTAGGTGGGTGGAACCAGGTCCCTGAGGAATGCCCTGTCAGTAAATTGCTAACTATCCTTATTCCTGCTCTCCCCAGGCCTACAGGACTGCAACGGTTCTACTCCTTGTCGTATTTATGGTACAGCGCTCACAACTCCACCACAGTCATTGTGGTGGGCCTGATTGTCAGTTGGCTCACTGGTGAGGGCATGTGGGATGGGGGCACAGAGAAGCAAGACAGGCTGAGGGAGGCTAATCAGGGAATCTGGACTCTGGGGTAGAACGGACCCTGCCCTCTGGGCTCCTGGGTGTCTAACAGTCAGACTTCTTGGCTGAGCTCTGGGAGGTTGGCAGGGGCTGAGAACTCAGAGCCCCAAGAACAGATGGCTTGTTGGGTGTGCACTGGTTACTGAGTAGGAGACTCAGAAGTGCCTTTGCCTTTGCCTTCAGGGGGAATGCGGGGCCGGACCCTGAACCCTCGGACCATTTCCCCAGTGTTTTCAAGACTTGTTGATCTCCTGCCCCTGTCTTGTCAGAAGCGATTTCACTGCAAAAGCTACAGCCAGGTAGCAGTTATGTTGCCCAGATTATACCCTCCCTTACCTCTCCAGATTATTACCAGACCTTCTAGGTTTCCTTCCATCCCTTTCCTTTCTCCCCAGCAAACCTGATTGTTTGCCTGAACCTGGACCGTCCCCCAGCAACCCCCCGGCTTCTACCCATGGGGGAGTGCTGGCTTGGTGGACAGAAGGGTCTCAGCCCAGAGAGGTGCCCAACGTGCTGGCCTTTCCTTTCTCCTGCCTCCCTGCTCACCGTGTGCTTTGCTTCTCCCTTTCTCTCCCGCTGCCCCTTGCTGATCTCCCTTCCAGCAAGGATCAAAGCAGTGTCTCATTCCCTTTGGTCTGTGTGTTCTCCAGGATCTCTCGGTGGATACCCCTGCGTTTCCAGAAAAGATGAGTAATGGGATGTTGAAGAATAGCAGAGACAAGGAGGCCATGGCCGTGCCTGAGGAAGGTTCAGCCCACCAGGGGAGCAGCCCTACCTTCATCCTGCAGGAGACCTCACTGTGATCCGAGCTCGGGTCCCAGTCCTGGAGGCAGCCTGTAGTAAAGTGATGAGTTATGTGATGCATAATGCAGAGACAATCAAGGACTAGATTACCTAGCCCACCAAAGGACCTTGTTCTTAGATGTTTGGGCTGCAGTAGAAGCCATCATAACATGGGAAGTGTGAGGGCAGGACAGGGTTTTTACTTGTCCCTTGACAGTCTATTCTCTAGAAGACCGGGCTTGCAGTGGACAGGATTTTGCTAGCAAAGGGTATAGAAGCAAATCCTCTGGGGAGTGGGTAATGGCTTCTGATTAATCATCATCAGGATCCTTTGAAGTGAATAGAAACTGCAGTGCTGGTTATCACTGTTCTGGGGCCTGATTTGACAAGGTTGGCCATGTTTACCATTAAATACAAAGCTGCCTTGGCCAGCTGTCACTTCTCTTGCAGTCCTATTTTGAGCATAGTTTCTGTCAGCCACAGAGAGCCCGTGACTACTTTCAGGTTGTCCGTGACACCGAGGCTCCTCTCATTCTTACCTGTCTACCTCCATTCTTGAGGCAGAGGGTTAGTTGTCCCCAAGAGTCCTCTCAGAACAGACCGGTACGGGGTGCCTCGGTGGCTCAGTCAGTTGAGCGTCTTGGCTTTGGCTCAGGTCATGATCTTGCGGTTCATGAGTTTGAGCCCCACATGGGCTCACTGCTGTCAACGTGGATTGTGCTTTGGATCCTCTGTCTCTCCCTTGCTCATGCTTTCGATTTCTCTCTCAAAAAAAAAACAAACAAAAAACATTTAAAAAAAAGATTAAAAAAAACCAAAAAGGATCGGTACATTCATCTCCTTTGCATAAAGTTGGGAAGCTTTCTACCTTGCTGCCCGCACCCTCCACCTATGTAATGGGCACTTGGGGACGGGACAGATGTAGATCCAAGAAACCAGAGCATGACCAGGTCCACTGTGGAGTGTGCCACCCACCTGGCACACCACCCTAGTGTCATTTCGTTGTTTGTACTCGTTTCCTTTTGGAGTTTCTTTCCCACATATCTTTGTTCCTAGGAAATAAAAGCTTAATGGGCCTAGAATCAGGGTTCCTGTACTATTTGTTCACAGCTGCTCTGGTTCACCCCAGGCCTGTCCATGGCAGTGATAGAGCCCCTTCTACCCCTGCACAGACTGGCTGTCATGTCTTCAGGGAGCAGCATTGTGCTTATCTGGGTGGAAGATGCACACTCCCTCTGCTGCTGTTCGTTCCCTGCAGCTCAGTCCGTCTCCTGTCCCACCCATCTTGTCCTTGACTGGTACAATCACCGCTGCTCAAATTTTCACTTTGGAGGCTGTTGGGAGAATGCTGCTACTTGCTGGGTGGTGTTAAGCCTGCTTGAGGTTGTCTCTCCTCTCTGCCCCTCACCTGCTTGTGCTCTTTCTCTCAAAATAAATAAACTTAAAAAAATAATAATAAAAATAGAACATTGGAGCTGGACTCTTGTGAAGAGCACAGCTCAAGCCCATGTACCCTAGGCCCTCGGTTGGCCTGGCCTTGTCCAACTGCACAGAAGTAACTCTGCATAAGCTCTCCGGGCCCCTCAGGCAGATCTGTGGACAGTTTCAGGAAATGCCAAGTTGAGGTCTGCCTTCTTGATAGCCCCTCTACCTGGGGGCAAAGGGGGTGCTGCTCCTGGCTGACTACCCCCACGCACCAAGCTATCAGAGTTCTAGATCTCACCAGGCTGTGCTTTGTTCATTTTCAACATGTTTATCCATCACCTACATGCAAGGGCGTTAAAGTTGACCGCCATTTTGCATCCAAGAAAATGACTATGCCACCTCAGGACCCTGCACCAGGTGCCACCATTATTTCAAAGTTGCCTCAGTCCAAGACCCTTGCATGTTAGCAGAGAAAAGAGGAAAAACCACAGGATTCAAAGGTTTCAAGGATTATGACATTTAAGGGGAGAGGGTAAAAACATTTGGTACTCCGTATAAATAATTCAAAGTCTGTAACAGAACAAAGATGCTCTTTTAACAAAGTAAACTTATTTGCACATTTTTAAAGTACCACTTAGGGGGCCTCTAGCTGGCTCAGAAGACCACGCACCTCTTGGTCTTAGAGTTGTGAGTTCTACCCCTACATTGAGAGTAGAGATGACTTAAAAATTGAATCTTTATTTTTTTTATTTTTTATTTAAAAAAAATTTTTTTTTCAACGTTTTTATTTATTTTTGGGACAGAGAGAGACAGAGCATGAACGGGGGAGGGGCAGAGAGAGAGGGAGACACAGAATCGGAAACAGGCTCCAGGCTCTGAGCCATCAGTCCAGAGCCCGACGCGGGGCTCGAACTCACGGACCGCGAGATCGTGACCTGGCTGAAGTCGGACGCTTAACCGACTGCGCCACCCAGGCACCCCAAAAAATTGAATCTTTAAAAATACCACTGGTGATGGTGGAGTCGAGTATACAGATCTAGGTTCAAATGCTGGTGCATCCACTTAACCTCCTTAAGCTTTAGTTTTTTCATCTATTAAATGTGAATTTCACAGAGCTGGTTAACGATTTAGTTACAGGGGCGCCTGGCTGGCTCAGTTGGAGTGTGCAGTTCTTGATCTTGGGGCTGTGGGTTTGAGACCCACGTTGGGTGTAGATTACTTAAATAAACAAAAAAATATTTAGTTACATTGCACGTAAAGGACTTATTCATTCCTTTGATGTCAGTGTGATCGTGTTTATTGTAGTTTTCAAGGCACTTTTCATGTACTACCCCATATTATGCCTTGGGAGAGAAGTGCATTGTGTAACATCTGCATTTTTAATATATAAGGTAACATAACATGGCTAGTGAGAGGTTGAGGGGCAGAACTAGAACCCAGGTTGTAGGACTAGAATCAAAGCTGTATCTCTGTTGCCATGGAAGAATGTCAGTTTGGATGGGGTGTCCACAGGTGACAGGGAATCTTGAGATAGTCCAGACAACTATAACACACTAAATGGGGGGTGCTACTATGCCATCATTCCAGAACCTTTGTAGGTCAGTGGCTTTCAAACCTTTGACAGACCCACAGTAGGACTATGTTCACGTTATGATCCAGTCCACTCATATATTGCATTATGTTACTAAGACCTTTCATGAAAAAATACCTCTGGGTATAGTTATCTGAGCTCTTCCTCTTCCCTTCTCTTCCTGCATAATTCAGTCCTAAAGCCATTAGGTGGAGCAGTGCAAAGTAGCATCGGTGCTGGAGGATGTCTGGTGTGCATGTTAGAGCTCAAGTGAAATGGAGACCATGGATGGGAGTAGCCCAGCTTAGACATCATAGTCTAAGCAGGATGAGGAGGGCAACCACATGGAGGCACAGTCTGCCGTGTGGTGTTACAGCCCAAGTTGGGACGAGGAAAGTGTCCATGTGGTTTGGTAGCCTGGTGAGGGGTTGGAGCATGAAAAAGACATACCCCACACACCTCCACAAAAGAAGACTTGGTGTGGGCTGTCTGCTGGAGTGGAACGGGAGGAGGGGGTCTGTGCATAGGGGCAGCTTGAGGTGGGGCGTCAGTCTGAGCAGCATGAGGAGGGCATCCTCAAGGAGGGTGGCTTGATGTGGGTTATCAGAGCCAGCCTGTACGTGTGTCTGCATGTGTCCCGCATGGGGAAGCAGAACTCAAACAGAATGAAGAGGGTATCTGCCTATGTGAGCAGCCCAGCCTGAGCTGTTAGAACCCGAGTGAAGTGAGGACATCTGTGTAGGAGGAAGACCTGTGGTCAGATGGGAGCCCAAGAAGGGTGAGGTAGCCTGGGGCGTGGTGTCAGCCTAAGCAGGGTGATGAAGACATCCACAGAGGGGCCAGCCAAGTGCAAGGAGAGTTGGATTAGACCCAAACAAAGCAGTGAAAAAAAATCTCTGGAAAATCTCGTATCCGCTCTCGTTAGATTTGCAGTCCAATTTCACATTGCTCAACGAGGCAAAATTTGGGACTTTGAAAAGAATAATAAAACCAATTGGCAAAAATTATCAAGAGAAAAGAGAAGACACAAATAATTCCAGAAACAAAAAGGGTACATAATGACAGATATTGTAGACATTAACATGGTAATCAGATTATGAACAACTTTAGGCCAACAAGTATGAAACTTTAGATGAAAATGGGCAAATTATTAGAAAAATATCACTAAAACGGACTCAGGAAGCAATAGGATATGCGAATAGCCCTATTTCCAGTAAAAAGAAACAATATTAAATAAAACCTCTAATCGTGAGGAAAATCCCGGGCCCACATGGCTTCACTGCTGAGTTCTAATCTTTCAAGGGATGACTAATTCTAAATTTACATAAACGATTCCAGAGTATAGATGAAGAGGGAACTTTCCTGAATGCATTTTTCTCTTTTCCAGCAATAAACATTTAAAGTTCTTAAAAAGGTTTTTTAATATTTTAATATTTAATTTTGAGAGAGAGGGAGAAGAGAGCATAAGTGGGGGAGGAACAGAGAGAGAGGGAGAGAATCTCAAGAAGGCTCCCCACTGTCAGTGCAGACCCCCATGGAGGGCTCAATAAGCAGGGCTGATCGTGAGATCATGACCTGAGCCGAAATCAAGAGTTGGATGCTTAACCGAGGCACCAACTTGGTGCCACCAAGGCACACGCAGCAACAAACATTTAAAGCATGAAATTTTAAGTATCTTTTATCATAGCATCAATCCAATATCAAAACCAGACAGAGACAGCATAAGCAGAAAGGAAAAGTATAAAGGTCAATATTATCATGAACATAGCTGCAAAATCATGAAATATTAGTGAACTGAATTCAGCAATGTATATAAAAAAGATAATATATCATCATCATTGCGTTTATCTCGGAAATAGGAGGTAGCTTTAACAATAGAAACTCAAATAATATGATCCTCCATGTTAACAGATGAAAGTAAAAATCTCATTATCATCTCAACAGATGCAGAAACAGGTTTCATGAAGTTCAACATTCATTTAGGAGAAAAGCTAGCACTAAGAAGGACTTCCCTAACCTGATTAAGTGTATCTATGAAAACAATCTACAACAAAGCTTTTAAAACTATAACCAAAATTAAAGGAAAAATAATTTAATTTCTTTAACTATAATCAAAGTTGTTTGTTTTTAAATTTTAAATTTTAATGTTTATTTTTTAGAGAGAGATTGTGTGTGCGCAAACGGGGGAGGGGCAGAGAGAAAGAGGGGCACAGAATCCAAAGCTAAAAATTAACAACTCAGGAAACAACAGATGTTGGTGAGGATATGGAGAAAGGAGAATCCTCTTGCACTGTTGGTGGGAATACAAACTGGTGCAGCCACTCTGGAAAACAGTGTAGAGGTTCCCTAAAAAATTTAAAATAGAATTACCCTATGACCCAACAATAGCACTGCTAGGAATTTATCCAAAGGGTAGAGGAGTGCTGATTTGTAGGGGCACATGTACT